CTCAGCATGAGGGTCAGGAAGTAATAAGCAGGAGGAATTAATAGGTTAAAGAAAGAGTAAAGAACAAACTAAGAAACAAAATGCACAAAGAGATTTGGAGGAGGCCCATTGTCCCTTACAAATAAAAAAAAGAGCCAAGTGCAAAGCCGGTAGATGGAAAGAGCCGATCATAACTGTCATTTTTGTGGTCAAGTTCAGAAAAAGGGAAACACACATCTGATGTAGGGACAGGGAAATGAAGCAATGAAGGCAATAACAAACTGAAAGAACACTGAACAATGGTAGTGAAGTCTTACACAGTCAATGAGCATCCAGTGGCCACATACAAAATAAAAGTAATGTTATCATCATCACCAGAACCTCAAGAGAAGGTAGTAGTCATAGCCACTTGAGAATACATTTTTATTAAAGTAATTCTTCATATCAGTTTTGTTTTAATGCAGTAACTGAAAGGCAATGTAGTTTGAAATCAATTTTGAAACCAAAGGAAATTAACAAGTTAACACTGGAATAAAGGCAACACAAATCTAACTAAATAGAACTTAAACTTCAATAATCACATCCATTCATGACAATACTGAGGAAATGAATGAAGATCATTTTGAGTGCAAGTTCTTATGGGAATCTTACAAGCATGAAGGATGTGTCACCCTCCTATTAATGGAGGGCTATTGTCACAAAATGATTACATCACACACTAGTGCAGTTCACGTTAAAACATCTTATGTGGTAGAAAGCTCAAGGCTATTGGCATGCACAAAATCTCAGAGTCAGATTTGCAAGGAATAGCTACTGTGTTCTGAGGTAAAGATTTTTCAGAAAGCACAGACTAGACTTGGTGCTGTAGCTATACGTTGTTTAGGGATGAAAATAGGAAGAGTGGAAGAACATTACATAAATACACATGTACAATTCTCCCAAATGTGAATTTACCTTATAAAAAAACAAAAAATTAGATAACCTAAAACAATATTCCATATTTTATCAAACCAAGGACATGTCCTTTTACTATATATACACGTAAAGGGCAACTCAGCTGCAAATTAAAAATTGATTTATATACATACATACATAAATATATATATATATGCATATAAATTAATTTTTAATTTTTACAGATAATAAAAACAAAATTCCGATATACAAATTTAGTCTTCCTATACAGCATCACCAACATACTGTCCTCCTGTAGCTCTTGAATCTACAGCTACCACTACACCTCCTTGATATTTGAAAGCCAAGGTTGTAGTTCCTTTATCATAATGAATTTTAATTCCTCTGCCATGTTCATCTACTGCAATTGTTTTCAATTTCTCCACAGGCTGTTTGTAAAACAAAGAATAAAGCTGAAATTACATACAGAAGTCCTATGTTTGAAGGAGTTCTAAGCGGAAGAGACTGTGAGATATTTATAGTTTCCTAATGAGAATGAAGATATTCTTTTCCATGCTAAGGTTTTTATCATACTGCCAAGGTAGAAACATACAGTAGTTTCCTCAGCAACTTGTTGAATGCTCCAACCAAGTGACTAATACATACTCCACTCTAGACTGTTCTCTAAAGGCTCATAACATATGAAAACCATAACAAATGACAAAACTAGCAAATTTCAAGAAATATTTTTCATAGGAAAAGCACTATGTGAAGGATACACTTTATATTAGGTATACTTTGCACTAGAGCTGGGAAATTAGTGGAATCTGATAATCATTTAATTGTTATATTCATTAATAAATTACTCTCACAAGACTTGGACAGTTCAAATAATCAAAAATAGTAACAAGTGGAAAGTAATTTCAATTAGTTAATTATTTTCCTGAGTCATGACACTAATCAATTAAGCTGAACAACCTTGAATTAATCAAAAATAGTAATGAGAAATCATAATGACAATATTTTGATTACTTGGATGGATGGAAAAATAGAAAGCAGTAATAATCAAAAACACTAATTTTGATTAGCAGATTTTTTATGACATTAATAGGTTTAATCATAATTTCAATTAATTTTGATTATTTTACATAACACTAGCTGATGTAACAGATACTCATAGGAAATTAAATATCAGAATTCTGTGCTACTCTTTGGCTTATATATCTAACATAAAGAAAACTTGCATGTAACAGTATTAATCATAATACTATTTTATTAACATAAGCTGCATGAATTAAGTCTCAAATATTTGTCCCCTAACAATTTATCTTTTTACTACAAAAGCTAATTGATAATGTCCTTTGATCATGTTTGCATACACTCTTTTTTTTTTTGCCAAACTCAGTCAAAATCCCGAGAAATACATTTTCAATGTAAGAAAATGTTAACTTCTGAAAGAGTCTTATCTCATCTCACCTGGAGCAAGAATGCCATTTTGCTTAAGTGGAGGGGCCAGTGAAGACACATAAGTAACCAAGGAAGCAGAAAGTGACCGCCCCGAAAGCATAGATGTGCAAAATCATGAAGGGAAAGCACACCCGAGGGGTTTAGCACTATTTCTGGAACAGGTATGCTCTTCACCCAGTAATTAAAATCAGAACACCAATACAGACAAAACTGAATTGGCAGGCATCAACATATTAAGTAAAAGACATTGACTCACATAAACATCCACGGAAAATGCCTTGGATATGTAACATGATGAGAAAAAACGTCTCCAGATAAAAGAGTGATAATGTGGATTGTCTGAACCCTTTCATTGTCAAAATACATGATATTCTGTACATGAGTAGGAAGACATAGTACGAACATATTGATAGGGAGTCATAACAAGGTGCCTGAGAAGCACTAAATGACAATAAGCAGCTACAGCTAAAGGACCATGAGTGAATAGGTCAAGTATGGGCCACCCAGGCAAAAAACATCTAGGGGAAGCACCTTGGGATACAACCTGTTATGTCAAATGCCATCAATCTGGGCAGAAAATATCCAGTGGAAGCTCCTTGCAAAAGAAACTATTTGATCAACAAGTGTGGTCCACAGGGCAAAATATCCAGGGGAAGCACCTTGGATCCTGAATAATTTGTCCTTATTTAGAACTGCAATGAGTATAACAATTATAGCACTCTTCTTGTCTTGCAGGAACTCATGATCCATAAATTTTGATTTGTGCTGGTTGTACAAAACCCATTCAGGAGGAAACATCCTCAGTCCACCACTCCAGCAACTGGGAACTGCTCCACTAGAAGAAGGGGGGAGATTCATGGTGGGGGTGTCCAGAGGAGCGACACACTGGAGACAGTGCAATGGGTGTGTGTGTTACCCCATTTTGAAAAGCAGAAAGACCCCACTTATAAGAATCACAGGTTAGTAGGGATAGGAAGAAGTCCTATCTGCTTTATTCATGAAGTCCATGAGTGACAGTCCTTCATATAAAAAGCAAGGAATATTTGATTTAAAAAATTATATATATAAATATCAATGGACAAGCTGCCAGTGGTCTTACAGAAACACACCATCTCAACAGTGAGCGTTATAAAAATATTCATATTCAGTGCTAAAATAATATGAAGCATACCTGACCAGACAACACCCACCACTAGGTGGGTTCCTTAAATATGATGGAATGTAAGGAAAATTATCAAACAATAAATAATAATATGTTGACTTACCCCAGTCAAAGGCAAAGAGACGTATGCAGAATCACCACAGGAGGAAGATGATACCCACACAAAGAAGACAAAACCAAGTCATGCAGAGAATGTGCAATGAATATATTGGGAGGTGTCCACATACCAGCTTGAATGATCTCCTACAAAGACCTTCGGTTTCAAGCTCCCAAAGACATAGTCAGATGACAAATTTGGTGCAAAGAAACACTAAGTAGATGGCAATCCTCCATGGATCAGTCAGAATGTACAAATCGTTTGAGTTGACGAAATTAACCAGTGAGGGTAACAGGTGAAAGATCACAGGAAACAGAGAGATACCATGAATAATCAGACGGGAATGAGAACCATGAAAGGAGGCAGTACAAGCCACATAACACAGCGGGGAATGACCTGGAAAAAGAAGGTGATTTGGATCTGATGGGGAGAGACCCTGAGTCAAAGCAAGGAACTGGAAAAAAAACCACATGAGAAGGAGGAGGATGGTGATGTCGGGATGAATGACATTCAATTGCAGTAGTGTGAGGAGTGACCAGGACAGAGGTAAGGGCAGGTAAGAGCAACAAGCAGAGCATGAAAAGGAGTGGTCTGGATTAGGAAAAATACTCTGGAGAAAACTGTGGTTGGAGGGAAGTATATAGGTGATGACTGCTCAAACTGGACTGAAGGCATCTACTCCCAGAGCCAATGGGTGTGGAACCAAAAACCAAAAGAAAGGAACACTGGTGATCCAGTGAGTGACAAACACATCTACGTGAGTTGTTACCTGATGAGAATACACCCACAAAAATACCTGTGAAGACAGGGACTACGTCGAGAGGAGAACCTAGTTGGGTCAACATAAGTGATAGGCTACCAAATTCATGAAGCAGGGAACATAACACACTAAGATCGCCATGTAGTGGTCATGGGCCCAGTAAAGATGAAACATAATCAAAAAATGCAGAGATCTCGATTAGGTTCCCCTTTGCCAGGTGATATAGCTGATGGCATTGAAATAGATGGAATGAACCATAACCACCCACCCCCTCAGAAATGAGAGGAGATGAGACAGAGCCCAATGAACTGCCAAAAGCTCCAGGATGTCGAAAATGGAAAGTAGCCACTTCAACAGACAACTGACTGGAATTCTCTTGAGAATGGAGGAAAACCCCAACCCATCAAGGAAGCAGGTGAGACTTTGGACAAGGTGGAAGAAT